TTGAAACTAGGAGGACGCAGATTCTGTATTTCTTGTATAAACCATATGCATCAAATGGAAGTCCTGTTTTTGGGATTAGAAAATTTCTGTCTTTTTTATTCTTAGTATTTTTTAGTGATACGAGGATGTTTTTCTCTGTATCTTCGAAACTGTTAATGGTGAGAGACGTAAGTTCACTTCTCCTGCAAGCTCCTAGAATACCGAGCACTAACACAACCTTTTCCAGTAGCCAGGTATGATCATCCGCGTCCAGCAAAAATTTAAGTATATCATTTTCCGATAGAACCTTGGCTTTCTTTGGGGTATAACCTTCATTTTTGCGCCTCAGGAACAAGAATAGTTTACCGAATCTACAAACAAACATAATTTCGATGAGTATATAGTTAGTTCAATGTTGGCGGATAGTATAGTAATTTACCTTGATATGTCAATATTTTCATGTATTCTTAACGCAAGTTTCAGCATTGATATTTTTGTCCACAGTGATGTAGGAGAATACGTTTCAGACATTCCTTTTGCATAAGCTAGCAGTACTTCTTCACGTACACTATGTGTGTTTTTATTCTGACGCCACTTCACGAAGTTGTCGTATTCCTGCTGATATCTTTGTTGGGTTGTACTCGGAAATAAATTTATGGTTGCCGCAGCTGCTTCTTCCAGTACATCGGAGGGAATATCGTTTTCGAAAATTTCTTCCATCTTTGATCTTTTCCGCTCTATAATCACTCAACAAGAAACAGTACTGTCAAACTTACAATGTTTGTATAGTATATTGATGTGGTTGCTAGGCAACTTTAGATTGTTGTGATTGTTGTAGGTGGTGCGCGGCCGTTATTTTATTTAACGGCCGGCGGCCGTTAAATGCACCTTTTCGATATCAATTTCGCTCATATTATGGTAAGATAATAGTACAGTATGACGAAAAAATAATAATGCAATGCGAATGTGAATCCATGGAAATACAGTAAAGCACGTAAAATTAACGTTCTGCGGATATCTAGTTCTTGACGTCCCGAGAATTTACTAAATTGGACTTACTTAAAACGTCCATAATTGGTCCTGGACGTACAGACGTTAAATGGACATTTAATGGACGTCCTTAGGACGTCCTGTGCTATCTGGGTGTGATTTGTCTTAAATGTTTTTTTGGTAAATGATAATAAATTGATATTTTAATTTAAAAAATAAAAATAAATTTATTTCAATAAAATTATAGTAAGGTAAAATCAGGTAGATAAAAAAGGTACATTTTTAATAAGGTATATATAAAAACAAATAGAATAAATTGACATATGGAACACAATTTTGACTGAACTTCCCTTGAGATAAGAGAATCTGCTTGCTCTAAGTACTGACTAGCTGGCTAAGAAATATAAAGGTAAGTTAAAAAAATAATTAAAATACATAAAATAACATACGATATCTTAATAAAATAAATATATCTTAAAAATAAAAAATAAATCAATACCATCTCAATATATACATATATATCAAAATTTTGTTGTTCATACTCCATGGAATTATTCAAATATATAATAACACCATATAATAATAATATTCTTATAATTCACCCCATTTGGGACGACTGTTATTTCCTATGGGTTGACTACTACTAATTATTATTTACAACGCGCTGGTTAAATCTATTTTGCGATATGGTATAATGTGGACTATATGATATTGCGCTTCAACACCTTAATGTAATCCAAAATCGTATCTACAGCAATATATCCTACCTCTCTTTTATATAATAAAAAAGTGCTTTGTTAAGAACATTATATTATCTGTTTTGCTGTACCTTTATTTATGGAAAGCCTGATTTGAGATACACTACAAATCATTTGCACAACACAAGAACCAGATTAAATGAGCAGATGAGAACTCCAGCAGTTCAGCGAGTTGCAAATCAAAGGTTTGTAATTTATGTTGCTTCCAAAGTTTTTAATACTCTACCTACCAGTGTGAGGAATATAAATATTTTTAAGCTATTTCAGAAGAAATCAAAACTGTATATCACATCTAATATTGATGCATATAAAGATGTACTCTAGATCATTCTTTTTATTCTGTTTTTGTAAATATATAAATGTGTATATAATTATGTTTTATTTTTTAAATTTATATCTTACTTTATATGTTATATTAGTATATTAGCATGCCGAAGCACTGATGAAGTATGTATACTTTATAATTTTACTGCCATTACTTTTTGGACATACAGGTGCTTGCACCTTGTAGCATTTATATTTTCACAAGAATATTTTATTTAAATCTACAAAGAATGTATTTACATGTACTAACCTTTTCATTACTATTAATATAAAACAATTAGCTTGAGTCGTAACTACTAAAGTATTTCACTTCTGTGGAATGTTTCTCAAAGACAATTTCATGTATTTGATTTGATAACTATTATATACTAAAAATTGTTCAATAGTATTTAGATTAAGCTCTGAAACATAAATCACAATAAAATAACTTTGTTTAATCACTTTACAATACATTACCATCTATAATTGTTTTGTTGTGCATATAATTCAATTCTGGTAGCATTCTTTTTATAATATCTAATTATTGTTTATATTGTTTGATTCGAATAGTTAGGTTATGTCACTTCTTCAGTTCTTCTTTTTGTTAGTTTGATAAATTGCACTACTTCGTGAATGCATGTCATTTGTTACTGAGTGGCCTTAGTTAGAACTGTTATTGCGTACATTCGTTCGTTTGTATACAAATTTTTATTTTAACCAATCAAAAGCTATTATTTCAAATTTTGTTTAAATTCATTTCAAAATTCAAAATAACGCAGATAATTTTTTGTGCCTTTCTGGAACTTTGAATAGCCATTTTGCAAGTTCGTTCCTTTCTGTTTGAAAAGCCGCAAGAGTCACATCTTTTCGTGTGAAGGCTAGTGTTAGTTTTGTCATCCCTTAATAGGTGAGTTTTTATTCAATAATTTTCTCAGGTTCTTTCACGAATCTCCTTCTTACGTTTCTGGATAGATATTATTTCCGTATTTCTTTTATCAGGGACCTACACTGGGACATAGTCCGGTAGAAAGCACGCCTTCCATGTTTTTTGTACTACATCGCTTGATGGTTTCTGAAGTACTCATTTATATAGAGATATCCATAATCAATACCTTGAATATCGTCCTTTTTATTGCATCAATTTATATTGGAATAGCTGTAATAGCCGCATTTGGTTTCGTCTTCACGATGTATGAGTTACCACATTTCAAAGTCCAGCTGAGTATTTTTCGAGACGTAGTTTGCTGCTTACAACTACATTCAGCTGTACCTTTCATCCAAGACCAGATTCAACTGTACCTTTCCTTTGGACAATCCGCCACAAATGGAGTCAACCTATTTGTTACCAGTAACCGGCCCGAGATCTGTTACCGAAAGATCTAAGTCCAGTGAGCGAACCACGAGTTCACCAAACCAGGTTTTATTTAGTAATACATTTTTTTATTTAACTATTTAATTTAAATATAACACAACTGATGATTATAATTTGGTATATAATTTGGAACATAAAGTTATTTAATTTATATTAAAGGTTGTAAACCGAACATAGCTATGAAAGGTATTGTGGTATTAATATTTATTTAATATTATATATTTTTTTCTAATTAACTATAATAATTAAAAATCACTATTTTTAATTATTTTGTCGTATTAATATTTGTTCAATATTATACATATTTTCTAATTAACTATAATAATTTAAAAATCACAATTTTAAACATTAACTTCATTTATTGAGAATGTTAAGTTGATAAACATAGGTAATATGTTTGAAAGGTCATCATTTACATATAGATAAACCAGTAACTCTATTTTAAATATAATTTGTAAATAAATTGAGAGTGACATAATAAGTTGTTTCGTTTCCTTTTTTTTTGGTACATAAATTTTCCCTTTTCAGAAAAGTTCATAATCATTGTTTATTTAAAAGTTTATTTGAATATTGGTTAATATCAAACAATATCAATATCATTGTAAGTAACTTTAAATTTTGCAACTTGGGAAAGTTTTAGTCGTATAGTTTGATATTGACATTTATTGTATTAAAGTTGCATGGCGCTCGACATTATTACTTTACTCAAACACATTGATTTAATTCCGAATTCACCCTAGCTCTCCAGACTGAAAAGCTGCCGTTCGCAGTGTGTTGCGCTTAAAATTTATAATATTCAAATTTCTATTTTTTTATTTTTTTAAAAAAATCAGACATCTCAGAAAAAGTGCGGCACAACCTAGGTGCTTAACTTAATTCATAATTTTTCAAAACATTTGTAAACATCCATTGTTATTAAATTTAATTTAAATAAATAGAATAAATAAAATTTGAAAGTACTTTGTGGTGAGGGTGAGGTTTTCCGGGTTTTCCTCACCTGTAAGTCAAATGGCACCATCAATCATCTTTAAGTCGCCCCGGAGCGCCACGGCAAATAATAATAATAATAATAATAATAATAGCTGTCCCTTCCCCTACACAAGTCGTTCAGTCGACTTCAGGGGTTGAAATTCACTCGTAAGGGGGTGAATTAGGGAGAGTATTATTATTATTATTATTATATATTCATAAAAATCAAAACCGCAAGTCAATCAGTGATTAAATAAATAGTTACAAGCCTTAGCAAAACAGAACATTGTAGTATAAAGTACAACGACAAAAACATCAAATTAACAATTTAAAAAATAATCCCAGCCAAACCAAAATTTGTCAATTTTAGATTTAATTTTCCCCTTTGTGAGATACATTTATTATATTTTAAGAAGAACGTTTGCAAGTTCAATATCCTTTCTTAAAATAGAAAATCTTTACGAGTTTTACTTAAAAGATTAAACTGTATTGAACACGCGTTTTAAATGTTATAGTTCATGTACCCCTTAATACCTCGCTGAATTTGGTATCAAATACGTCCCTATTTGCGCATCGTTATTGATCTACAGAATCCCTTCAGGATTTCTGTTGGCATACGCATCCTAGCACAAGGACCTCATACATACATCCACACTCTCGCTCTAATATGAACTTTCTAATATTACTGGTGACATTTAAAATGAATTATAAAAAAATGTGATTTGTTGGTGATTCGTTAAATTAAAATAAAAATAAATTATGTTAAACGAATAACCGTGTGATATATTATAACCGATACAATCATGAAATTGGAGTGGGTGCTTTTTTTCATATATTTCTTTTATTTCGTCGAATTTTGTTTGTGTAATCCCGACGCCAAAAGACTATATGATGATCTTCTAAGCAATTATAATAGACTAATTAGACCTGTTAGTAATAATACGGATACGGTACTAGTTAAACTAGGCTTAAGGCTGTCACAGTTGATCGAATTGGTAAGATACCTATTTCATTATATGAAGTGATCCACAAGAAATATTTCTAAAGTAAGCCTTGGAAAATTTCTTCTTATTTTTAAGTGTCAATCCAAAGCCGTGCCCAGTTATTACGGATATTACTCGTATCTATGTTTTTGTCGGCCATGGCCTACTTTAGAAATATTTTTTAAAGATCACTCTTTATGTTTATACAAATAAACCTCCTTCGCTTCTTTATAATATGGAATAAATAAAAATGTTTCTAAAGCATATCTTGTAAAAATTCAAGTATTTCGAAGAGTGCACAATTATTTTTCTTCTTCTTAAATATTAGGTTAGATTAACTTAAGAGCCGTGAGTAGTTATTGTAGATGACTCGTATCTTTGTTTGTCATGGCCTACTTTGGAAATATTTTTGTGAATCACTCTTTATTATGATCATTTTATTCAGGGTACAAGAAGTAATGAAGGTTTAAACGTATAATTTACAAAAATGATTGTGACAAAGTAAAAAATGATACTGACAGTTTGTTAGGTAGTAGTAGGTGCGGTGAGCTTAACCTTCGTCTTCCACTAAGGCTGTCTGATAAAGTAAGGTTAAAATACGTGTGACGTTATATAGAGGTAAGTAGTGCCTAAAAGGTGTAATAAATTTGAATAAAAATTGCTAACATTCCTATTTAAATAATTGGTATTTTTATTGTATGCTTTTGAATGTGTTATCTAATATTTTCTGAATTGATAATCTTTTGATCGTTCATTTTTAACACACGAAAAAAGGATATTCTTTAAATTATGTAATTAATAAATCACAAAGTTCATATTCATAAGATCCCTCACCAATGACAAGGGGCCGTATTCATAAAAAAAAGGTTATGCTTATACTTGTAGAATATAAAGGAAATCGTTCACCTCGCATTCATAATATTTCGAGTAAAACCTTATACTTGTAGAGCATATCCTTAACAAAAAGTATTTTCTTATGTATAAACGTTACCTTCTACTCTAAATAAAAAGGATATCCGTCAATTATTTCGAGTATGATCAGTAGCAGACTCAGTTGTGTAGTGATCGATCAGTTGTAGCGATAGCAGATGTGGAACTGAGAGAGATTAAACACTTCAAGCAGCGTTTATCAACACCTGTTCGTGATTACAAAGAATTATACCGGTTTAAAGAGGAAAATGAGCAATGGCTTCCAAACACATTTTTGGGAATAAATGCTGAAACTCGAGAAGGTGCGTTATCATCCGTCCTACAAATGCAGATATGTTTACGCTATCTCAGTAACCCTGGGTATCAGAAAGTCATTGGTCAAGAAGTAGGTGTAAGTCAGGCTACAGCTAAGGGCTACAGTATCTCGTACAGTGACTGCCGTAATTGACAGCATAGTGGCGCAATCAAATTACTGGATAAAGTTACCATCTACCAACAATGAACTTATGGATGCGAAACAGTTAAAGTTAAAGAATAGGTTTTCGATAGCAATTGGCGTAGTTGACTGTACCCACGTAGGAATACTGAAACCAAATTGCCATGGTGAGTATGTCAACCGAAAAGGTCATTCTACACTGAATGTGCATAAATGTTTACTAGTATGGACTTTAGTTGACCTGGATCGGTCCAAGATTCAAGAATATGGAGAAATTCACAAATAAGGATTCATTTACAAAATAAAAACAACTTCGTGCTACTTGTTGATAATGGATATGGTATAGTGCCGTGTCTCATAACTCCATTCAGAAATCTCGCTCCAGGTGCTGAACTAAATTGTAATAAACTTTTGAAAAAAGAAAGTTATGTTTGAACATTGTTTTGGTCAACTGAAACGTCGATTTCTCATTTTGCAATATGTTTGCCGAGTGAAATTGGAGAATGTGACAAAAATAATTGTAGCCTTTAGAAAATATCGATTTGGAAGCACCTGAAGAAGATGCCAATGATAATGACGAAGTTAATCTACCTCTTCGCCAGCAAGGACAAGAAGCAAGAAAAAATTTAAGCATTGTAAGAAACAACTTTGATAATTTAATTAAGTTTTATTATTTACGCCATCATTTCATTTTGGTTTGTAAAAAACAAAATTCGAATAAGTTTATTCACTAACGCAAACTGTTCTCTTTTTATTTTATTACAAACTTTTTAATATTATTTATAATAAACCAAACATATACCTACTTTGTTCTTTTATATTTTAAACCCATCTTATCATCTAAGTACACTGGATTTTTTTAAACAAACTAGATATATAGGTACTCAAAATCCTCTAGTCTTACAAAAAAATAATAAGTACCTACTTAACATAATAATATATAATATAATATCAATATAATACGTTGCACGAGAAAATTTGGTGAATTGTTTACATATTGTAGTATGCTAACTCCCCCTCGTTAACAATATTTGCTGCTGATTCCTCCCGCTTCATCCTCTCCAACTTTTTTCATAGTATTCTCTTTGAACTCTAGTTGTTTGATACTGCTTTAAAAGAACTAGCCGTTGAAGCTCTTTGGTTGTGAGTCTTTTTGTTTCATTTGTTTCGTACTTTTCTGTAGTTGTTTTTTTTCTTGCTGGCAGAAGAGATTCGACAGTTTTGACACTACTAGGTAGTAGTTTGATGGCTGATTCAGTCTCTTCTCGCGAAGTAGAAGCTTCACTCACTCCATGCTGAGTAGATCCATCATCAATACTAATATGCAGGATTGTAGGATTACTATCGCCTTTTATAGCCTTCAATAACTTTTTCTTCCATTCCAACAGTTTGATTGCTTTATTTCCAGTTATTTCAAGTCAGTTTTTTTCTTCAACCTTCCTTTCATATTGTTTAATTTTTTTTAATTTTTTTTCGTAAATGTCACTTCGTACATCCCGGTAACATTTCTAATAGCCTCATCCTTTCTAGTTTTTATTTTTGGTGTTTGGAATTTTTCCAAAATCACGGGGACATTGGCAATTTTATCTCCTATGACCTGCAGTGCGGTTGTAGCATTATCTTTTTCTGTGCTTTCACTATCGCTGCTTGACGAATACATCTACCCCGATCGAAGTACTGTACTCAAATAACACCGATAAGAAAGAAATACCGTAAATAAACAAAAAACCATTGAAAACAGGTTGAAACCTGCCGCATTACATACAAACCAACAACCTTTTACTTATTATTGGAGGATATCCTTGCAAGTATAAGGTAATCATTATGAATACGAAAAAAAGGAAATACTTTTTTTTCAACTCAAACGCTATACTTCTACTTCTACTTTACAAGGATATCCTTCAGTTTTATGAATACGACCCAAGGTTTCAATCCAAGAACAGTAAGATTGTTACGATTTATAGCATGACGTGTGAAAGGGCGTGGATTCTTGAAATTCAAAACTACCAATCTACGATCACACCATCCCTGTATATTCCATAGTCGTTGTTTATAAAGTGGATCGTTTTTCGAAAAACAATATTTATAGGAATAAAACACACTGGATTAAACTTTGAAAACACTATTACCTTGAAGGACCATCTCAACTTTACGGCTTTAAGAAACATTTACAATTATCATTATACATTAAATTATTTTAATACTATTTACAGAAATTAAAACTAAGAGCAGCTCTCTCTTTACAACTGAAGTCTGAAACCAACTTCCCTTCTAGACGTTTTTAGATACATTCTTAATGAGCAGAGAAAGCAATCGCATTTGCAGAGCTATGTCACTTTTCAGAGAAATGCAATTCGTATAACTAGGAATTACTCTCTCAATTGTAATCCAGTCGAAATTTGAATAACCTTTTAAGTCGTAATGCCAACTCTTTAGTTTTCGCTTCGGTGCTAGCAAAGCGTATTGGAAAGTGTTCAACAGCTCAGACTGTATATAAATACTAAAATCAACAAAAGAGATAAAAATTTGTAGTTTAAATGGACATGAATGCCTACTTCGAAAAAGGAGAAAAAATGAAACAGTAAAAACAGTAAATTACTTGAATTTTAAAGGCTGTTGCCACTGGAAAACTATTATCTAGGTCTTGGGTGACAGCCATAGGGCTACATCCTTGAATCGTGTTCATAGGAAAGCATAAGATCTTAGTAAAATTATGATATTAGAGGTTATTAATTGAAGAAGAGGAAAAAATATTAAAAACTTACGTCAAAGTTGGCACCTACGTTAACAGAGGGGAAAACTGAACCAGAACATTTTTATACTTGAATTTTAAAGGCTTTTTACACTAGAAAAGTATTATCTAGGGAGGGGACCCTTGGACTGACAGCCATAGGAATCCCCCTTGAATCCTATTTTCTTGAGTCTGTTGTACGTTTTGCTTTCCATATCAAATAAGTAAGCACTTAATACAACAACACAAATCACAATAAATACCGTTAAAACAAAATTAATATTAATATATGGTATAAATTTCTTATCAGAAAAAAATCAAAAAATTATCACTTCTCGCTTCGCTTGTCAAAAACGTCTTTAACTAATGAACGTGCCGATGTCAAAAGTGTCAAAATTCAAAACGATACTAGCGCCATGTAACTCAACGGCATTTCTAGAATCCCAGTTACATTACTATAGGGGATATATTGTGTAACTTGGTTCCATACAGGTACACTCAAAGCCCTAAAGGTGGAAACGCATTAGAAAATCGCGATCTTCTCGCACCGCGGTGTGTGCTACTCTTTAGCGCGCGTCGTTTCGGGAGATCCTATGGAAAATATAGAAGAACGTCATGCGAGTAAGTGAAAATGCATGCGTTATAAAATATGCGAAACAACTTCACCATGCACGCTCGAGACTAGCACAGATCACGATGCGACAGGATCGCGATTGCCTAATGCGTTTTCACCTTTAGAGCTTCCAAACAGTCCCAACATAGGGTTACCATATTCAAAAATACAATTTCTTGATACTCCTAATGAAAATTCTGGACATTTCTTTAAAAATCCGGACAAGATAATAAAACTCCAACTTATTTATGTAATAATTACTAAACATTTTGTTTAAAAAAGTACGTCGTCAAACAATAAAAACAAAAAATATTTCCTCAATTAAAAACTCGTGGAATTAAATAATTAATAATGTCATCGTGGTTCTAATTGTCGGTAATGTTTAACCAAAACATAATTTCAGTCAAAATAAGAAAAAATATTATATGTTACATAAAATAAGTCATTTCTCAACTGGTTCCATAAATAGCTATTGTGTCGCTATGACAGCCGTTTTGTGTTGTTATTGTTTTGTCAGGATGTTGTTTACTTTTATTTATACTAAACGTTCGCTTTTTTTCAGAATCTTAAGGATCAAATTCTCACTACAAACGTGTGGTTAGAACATGTAAGTAATCTTTAAATATAAAAATTATTTACGATTTTTAACACTTAACTCTCGATTGTAATGAAATTCACCTAATTGACTTTTAACGTAAATAACTAGAGATATAGGTTTGTTCCAGCAAGAGTATATGACCGTTACCAAAACCTGATGTAAGTCCAGTGTTTCAACCAACATTTGGATGAATTTCGAACCTGGATCAAATCATCAGATTGGTTTAAAAATTTTTCTCGGAATAAAACTTTTAAAAATACATTTAGCAAAAGTAATCTGCATGAAGTTAGAAATGCTTTCCAACAAGAACTAAGTCAGAAAATCGGTTCACAAATAGCAACAGAGATGAATTTCATATCAGTCATGGATTATACCTTGCAAATGTATCAATTAATACATAACTTAGATACACTAAAATATTGTCGAGTCTAATTCCATTTTATTTGAATATTTAAGGAATGGCAGGATCACAAGTTTATGTGGGACCCTCAAGAATATGGAGGCGTCACGGAATTATATGTTCCATCTGAACATATTTGGTTACCAGACATAGTTCTGTACAATAAGTAAGTATTAGTTAATTTTTATTTTTCTCACTGCTTCACCAATATTATTTAATAAAGTGTAAACTGAATGTGGGCATCGCTCACCTTTTAAAGTATTCAGTGCAGCCGTGAAGATACAGTCATATGTTGGATGTGTGACCCATACAGGACAAGTTAGATTATACTAGCATTGCGTGTATCAAATTGTGCACAATATTCTTTGATGGCTGCTGGCGAGCTCAACTTCTTTTGTCGATCTTCTTATGTTCTTCCGGATCTTTGGAGAAAGAGAAAAATAAAAGTTCACCTACCTCTTCCAGGTTCATTTATCGATCATAACTTCGTTCATCTATGTTTTCTTTTTTATTTTCTATTTTCTATTTCATCCAGATTCGTGTTGTGTAACCAAACCAGTTTGTTTGGGCGATGGGCTTAACTTATCAGTTTGGGTGATCGCTGCGGAAAAAGTAGCTTAGCTGTGCTCACAGCATCAATAAGTGCATGATATTAAACTAAAATCACATTGGTATTAAAGCTGGAATAAACGCAGAACTCGTATCTGAGGTTGACCTGGTAGGTACGATACGATCCAACCAAGGGAAAAATTCATTGGGATTATCATGTTATGATGTCATAATTGTATAAAAAAAATGTAAGACATATTCTGTTGACTTCACAGCTCATTAGGAACATGTCGCAGAATAAGTGATAATCCCATCATAAATTACTTTTTATTTTGCCATTATTCACCGAATAATTTTAGTATTACTGATTAGTTTGACCCCATCTTTATATTGCGTCACTATTTGGTTATGATTTCTTTTTAGCTAAATCTCTGTCTTTTATTTGTTGTCTTCTACTTTTCGATTATTCATCATAACACTAAAGTTCATTACATTGAATATTATTTTAGTGCCGACGGAGAATATGTAGTAACCACTATGACGAAAGCGGTGCTAAGGCATACAGGAAAAGTTTTGTGGACTCCACCGGCCATTTTCAAATCGTCCTGCGAAATTGACGTCAGATATTTTCCCTTCGACCAGCAAACCTGCTTTATGAAGTTTGGATCTTGGACGTACGATGGAAATCAGGTGAGGTAAAATAAAACGTAGTAGGATATTAAATAAAACATTAAAACATTAAATAAAACATTAAATAAAACATTAAATAGAACATTAAATAAAACATTAAATAAAACATTAAATAAAACATTAAATAAAACATTAAATAAAATATTAAATAAAACATTAAATAAAACATTAAATAAAACATTAAATAAAACATTAAATAAAACATTAAATAAAACATTAAATAAAACATTAAATAAAACATTAAATAAAACATTAAATAAAACATTAAATAAAACAGCAAATAAAACATTAAATAAAATAAACATTAAATAAAACATCAAATAAAATAAAAATTAATACATTTATTTATAGTTTCGTCGCTTTAACTTTTATAATCATTTTTGCAGATTGATCTGAAGCATATAAATCAAAAAGTTGGTGAAAATAAAGTGGAAGTGGGTATAGACCTAAGGGAATACTATCCTAGTGTTGAATGGGATATACTAGGTGTACCCGCTGAGAGACACGAAAAATACTATCCATGCTGTGCGGAACCATATCCTGGTAAGAAATAAAACTGTCATAAACATGTGTGTTATTTATTGTATTTAAATATTTCTTTATTTATAAAACCTAGATTGAGTTTCGATTGTTTCTGGGTTCTTTTATTGATGGCTCTTTTCCTACTAGGGCAATCAAACCATAAGAACAATATTAATGCCAACATATTAAATAACTCGGAATGAATATTTAGTCAGAATATCCTTTATTCTTCGTTAGGTTTGTCTAGGTTCTTCTCTTCCATAAAAAATATGTTTGGATATTTATTTAGAATATTCTTTATTCTTCGTTTGTCTGGGATTCTTTCTTTCACAATTCATCTCAATACTGTCCCAGGTCCATGGTTTAATTTATTTTTGGTACCTAATAGTAATTATTATTTCTTTATTTTTAATAAATCACCTTTCACGAAATACTTGTCTCTGTTTTGATTAGTTAACTGTTTCTTGAATTTATATATTATCAACCTTTGCTCTGAAGTCTATATGGGTCATTTAGATTTATGCTTCTTCATTAGCTTTGGGTAACCTAGATGCCAATACTTGGTTGATGTTAATCTAGGTTGCCTTTTCCAGCTCTACTAAGATTTCCAAACAGTCGATAAATCTGAGTTTTAAATTCATTTACATGCAGATGATTGCCTTTTATGACAGGGCTACTAGAAGAAATTTTTCGTTAGGTCAAAACTTTTCTAAGTATCAGAATATTCAGAAAAAAAAAGAACAATTGTTTAGTCATGGAACAATATTAAAACTAGTACACAATCTTTCGGGGTTATGATGGACAAGTAATGTTATTTTTAACAGACACGTTATTTGTAAACAGGTTGTCATTTCTGTGTGTTTATAAAATAACAGATCTGTTAAAAATAACACAGGTTGTCAATCATAACCCCCTTTCTCATTTTTTGTAAGAATGCTTGGGTTATACGTCATCATATGATTGGACTATTAAAATATTACACAATTTTAAAATATTACTATTTGTGGGATTAAAAATTATTAGCACCAACAATTTTAGTTGCTTACAATTATATTTTACATTATATTTTTAAATTTTAGTTATAAATATACGTCACATTACTATTTAATGATTAAAAATACCTCTACTTTTGATTTTTTGTGCTTATTATGTTTTTTTTTTTATCAAATAAATTATTTATTGTATTTTTTAAATATCAATCTTACCTCTGCTTTTGATTTTTTGTACTTATTATGGTTTTTTTTTATCAAATAGATTGTTTATTGTATTTTAAAATATCAATCTTGATTTAAGGGAAAGCAGACATGTTGCTAAAAAGAATGGAAGATGTTAAATATGTTCTTTATAAACGAAAAAATTTGTTGAAAAAATAATTTAAAGTTTTTTATATTATTTGATATTAGAATCTTTGACGTAAACCAAAACGTTTTTTAAACAAGTGATTTTTGTTACAGATATTTTCTTCAACATAACGTTAAGAAGGAAAACACTTTTCTACACTGTAAACCTAATAGTACCATGTGTTGGTATTTCGTATTTATCAGTGTTGGTATTTTACTTACCAGCTGATTCGGGTGAAAAAATCGCCCTGTGTATTAATATTTTATTGTCGCAAACTATGTTTTTCTTGCTGATATCAGAAATCATTCCTAGTACTTCCCTAGCATTACCATTACTAGGAAAATACATTCTGTTCACTATGGTGATGGTTGCCTTTTCAGTAGTTATTACCATAATAATTTTAAACGTTCATTATCGAAAACCCAGTACCCATAAAATGGCACCGTGGGTACGCAGTTTTTTTATCAAAAGTGTACCAAAATTGTTATTAATGAGGGTACCCAAAGACTTATTAACAGAGCTAGCGGCTCACAAAATACCTCAAAATAGATTATCTTTAAAAAAGAGGGATTTGGACGTTATGCCTAGTAGCAGGTCGTCTTCGTCAAGCACCTCTAGCAGTTCCATGAACCGAGCCAGCGGATGTAATGGCCTTCATTCGAGTACTACTACTGCCAGGTAATTTAATTTAAAATATTACTCAATATAGACTACATTAGTAATTAGCTACAAAGTTCTATGATATAATTCCCAAAAATAATCAATCTATATCGTTTCAAGTCACTTCTAAAACCATTTATCCATTATTTTGATTCATAGCCTCATCAAATGGTAGTTTTTCGGTAACATGAAAGCGGTAGAAAGTTTCTCAACGGAATTATATGTTTTTTGGGGTGCTGAACACGAATCTGAAGTTTGCTGCCTCGTAGCAGTGTGGCTTCAGGTCGAAAAATGCAAAAATCCTCGAAATTTTCGGAGTTTTTCTGGTTTTCCGCTCATATCATGGAAACGATGTCGTTCTATTCAAAGTTAAAGAGCATAAAATTTTACGTCGAGAAACCTCCCTAACTTTTAAATTGGACCGATTTATAAGGTCGTTATCGTCAGTCGAAAAAAGCCACTTTTAGACGTCTGTGACGTGAAAACAGCCACTCTAAGTGAAAAACTTGTAGAACAAAAGTTGTAAAACATCAAATTTTACGATCAGTGAGCATCGAAATTTTAAATTTGGATCAGTATATACCCATTACGCATATAATGATCAGGAAAGGTTTCTGTGTAATTCCAAAAACAAAAGTCGCTCAATCACCATGCTAATGGCAAAGTGTGAAGAAGCTGGAATTGCCTGCAGACAAGCAAACGAGGATGCGGATTCACTGATTGTTCGGACAGCCGAATCCTTGGCCCCAACTCATCAAACTGTTGCGATTGTAGGAAAAGATGTAGATCTGCTGGTGATAACGATGGGTCTCAACACTTTTCGAAACGTATATCTGCTGAAGCCACGGAAAGGGAAAGCGCCTCAGTTGCTGTACCAACCACAATCTGCAGTAAAACAAAATCTTGACAAGCACATGATGTTTATACACGCTATAAGTGGATGCGACTCGACGTCATCTTTATATAACCAAAGCAAGACTAAATTCTTGAAGACTCTCTTTAAATATCCAGACCTTAAAGAGACCGTTGTGAAATTCTTGGATCCGTCAGCCCAGCCAACAGCAATTGCTGCTGAAGAAAAATTTTTGGTGGCCCTGTACGGGGCTAACCATCTAACAACTTCCTTGAATGCGCTGCTATACAAGCAGTACGTGACATCTGCCTTCAAGTACATTTTAGAAAATATAATAGTACAGTTAAAGCGTTAATTCTCTTATTAACAATTTATTTGAATTGAAATGAATAATATTTGTTTTTATCATGTGTACGTTTTTTTTTAAGTAAAATACGTACCTATTTTTAATACAAATAAACATCTTAAGGTGTCAAAATTATACATTCATATAAAACGTTATGTTGTATTTTAAATAATGTTTAAAATACCAATTCACCAAACATGTGATTGATTTGTCCAATTCCATTGCATTTTGCGTTCCAACAAGTACAAGTCGCTGATAAAACAACAAACGAATAAATGGACTGACATGCGCAGTGATTAGTTTACGAATAAATCGATGACGTACGAGTCAGAGACACATCAAAAAGGAGCTGTTGAAACAAGCTTTATGTTTAAATAGGCGAATTAAGTAAAAAGGCCTACATGATTAAAAACTTTTTAATAACCAATGTCTTCTATACTAGATAAAATATCGTCAAATTTATCATCTGAAAAATTACTGTCTCCGGTTTCTACAGTGATTATCACTATGTCCATTTCAGGTCACGATCAGTTCATTTTTCCCATTCTTCATCTGACACGGTTTTAAAAAAATCATTACATAGTTTCTAGAAGTCATTAATGTTAAATGTTAAATTTTTTGTTTTAAAAACTTCAAACTAGTTCTGTCAAGTTTAGCCTGGATGATATGGTGATAACCGTAACATATCGTGCCTATTTTGCTGCAATCTAATATTCATTGCATACTATTTATGTGCAGGTTTATCCATTTTAATTAAGACATATGATTCTGGCTTTGTATGTGGTTAAATCATAAAAAGGAACATCTTTTCGCCTCAGTCAGTCTTGCTTCCAATTGTTAGACATTTATCTACTTATTTAATATGATAAAATGGCGTTATCAGTGACTAAAACATTATTTGGTGGGTGATTTGAAACGAGTTTTTCGTGGACTCATTTTATGATAACTGCTGAAGTTCATCGTAGTAAACTCCTGTTTTTTTAAATGAAAATTCCAAAGATAAGTAAGCCCCATTCATGAACATGTAGCAGCGCTATTAAAAACTATTATTAACTTTGGTCCCTTGAAATTTATCGTTGGAATCATCGTTTCAACTATTATGAATGTCGGATGATTATAGATATGTGTGTTTTAACCCGACACTTTTTAATATTCCTTTCTTGTTTTTTTAAAAAAAGTATATTACTCCTCTTCATCAACAGTTTTATGTTGACGAGCAAAAGAGAAATAAGCTCTAGACACTGCCACTGCGACCCTTAGGTCACATGCAATAAAATGGCACATTTAGTACTTCTTTTTATGAAGATTTCTATCTTAGATAGTTATTATAGTACATAATATATTCACATTTTAGATTACGAGGATTTGCTGGAACTCTCAGTGAGCGACTAGGCTATAATGGATTGCCGTCAGTATTTTCTGGATTAGACGAAAGTGATTCTGGTACTAGAAAAAAGTATCCATTCGAATTGGAAAAAGCTATCCATAACGTTATGTTTATCCAGCATCATATACAAAGGCAGGATCAGTTTAATGCTGTAAGTAACATGTATTTATATAGCCCAAGAAAAATACGATCTTTGTAGTAAAAAATACATCAAAATTAAAAAAATTTAGTAAGATATAAAAATATAAATTTGAGCCACATGCTAAACGATTAAGTTGTTCTATTTGTTTTCAGGCGACTGTCATAAAAATTGACATTTTACGGATTTATTAACATGCCTTAAATATCAATTTTTTTGGCTGCATTTACCTTGAGGCTGAATTTACTTTTCGGCTACTCTAAAGTGTCACTTTTTTGGGCGCAATAATGTTACGGCCGCTTTTTATAAACACAGGTGTATCAGATAAATACAAGCAACTTGTAACCGCCAATACTTTAGTGACAACCGACAAATGACTTTACTAGACAGAATGACAGTGACAAGACTTTTGTCAGTTCACCTACTTAGTAGGTTATGCAGCAATATATTTAACACGCCCCCTCAATGAATATTTTTTTTAAGATAAAAACAAAATTATGAAATTGACAAAACAAAATTATTCTTTACATAACAAATCCCTAAACTTTGTAAACTTTTGTTTTCCTAAGGATTTTGTAAACAAATCCGAAATATTTTCATTTGTATTAACATATTCAATCAAAAATTCCCCTTTTTTATATAAGTCTTTAATGAAATGATATCGGATAATTGAAAGCTGACACATGTGATGCCAACTTTTATTATGAAATTCACTAGGAAGTATTCCTTTAATAATCTGCCTACAGTACATATACTACTGTGATATGATAAAAAATACATTTTTAATATGCAATTTTATAAAAATGAACTCCATGCGTCTAAATTTAATCATTTATTTTCAAAATTAAATTTAATTATTTTTATTAGTGTGTGTGGTACCAATGCCTGTCACTCACGTCATCTATGACGTGCATCCACATACTTTGATTTTCTTTTACTATACGGAGAATGGTCGCACTGCGCAGCTTTCTGAGTGCCTTTTAAAAGGAGATAGAAAACTCCGCCATTTTGAACCCTTATTACGTGTTGCTTACATCTTGGCGCAATATTTTTAAGAGGTGCGTTTTAATCATCCGCTTCTGCTTCGGAATTGTCGGTTTTCTTGTTTTAATCTGACAGGTTAAAACGACTAAACCGACAATTCCGGAAGCAGAAGCGGATGATTAAAACGCACCTGATATTTTGCTTGCTGCTGTCAGTGTCAGTGAATATTATTTTTGAAGTCACAGTTTATTGCTAAAGAATCAGTCAGCTCACTCGGACCAGTTGAAAGTTCCAAAATAACATCCACTCCAGGGATACAAATTCAGGATACGCAAAAGACTGCTGTTTTATTATAGGCGGTTGTCATATATTGTATTATCCGAGTTGCACAGTGTATAAACTGAAACATTGAGATCAAAAGTGTCGACGCAGAGTGAGCGATCTGATTCTTTAGTTGTAAACTGTGTCACAGGGTTCAAAATGGCCGCGCCCTATGTTGGGCGTGTCGGACCTCTCTCTTGCCTCGTATAGTAATCAAAGTATGTGCGTGCATCGGTTTTTATATTGAATGCTCTATATAGGTGGTACTATTAATAGCTTCAGTTGTCATATTTTTACCTTGACATTTCACCTGCAGCTCTTCTTTCTTTGTGAACCTGACCATTTGTAATGTGCACTGATATCACTTGTTCATAAACTGTTCTAGTTCTTCTGTTACAAAATAATTACTTGCACCAGAGTCCAACACATAGTTTACGCTCATTGCCACTAACACGATGTTATTCTCTGCCGAATTTGCTTGTTTTGTATTTCTATTAAAACCTCGTCCATAAAAGTTAATTTTAGGGCACTGTAATTTAAAATGATTTTTATCACCACAAATATAGCACCCTGTAGACGTATTTAAACTGTAGTCACTACTACCAGCTTGATTTTCATTGAAAGTCTTAGATATTAGTTTTAGTTCTTTATCAAGCAGCATGGCTTTCACAAAATCCATTTTCATGTCACTAACGGTTTCCACTGCTGTGATAAGTGTATCGTACTGTGATGGAAGGGACAATAATAAATGACAGACTCTGTCTGTTTCATCAATTTGTGAACCTAAGTCTTGTAGGTCTCTTATTATGATATCGAACTTTAGAAAGGGCTCTTCTAAACTTTCATTATTATTTGACTTTAAACTGAATAATTTTCTCCATACGGTTAACTTTGCAAATGAACTAACTCTTACAAAAACATCTTTTAGGGCTTGCATCTGCTCTTTAGCGGTCTGACAGTCTTTAATAATGTCCAGATGTTTATCTGACATACCCTGTATAATGAAGGAATGAGCTACTGCATCCTATATTAAAAATGCTTGCTTTGCACCATCAGCGATAGGCACATCATGTTCTATCGTTTCTGCACACCGTTCTTTGCGTAGAATTGCTACCATTCTGAACTTCCAGTTATTGTAATTGTTGGCTGTTAACATGGGTACATTTGTGTATATATTCATCATGTTTTAATTTATTATCTGAGGTTTCCTTGTTTCTTTATTTTACGTAATCTGGGCCCATAACCTTTTAAGGAAATAAAATTAAATACCTTTTAGGTAAATTAGGAAACGTATATTAAATAGAAAATACAAGTAACTTGTAACCGCCAATACTTTAGTGACAACTGACAACTGACTTTATTTGACAGAATGACAGTGACAGCAACATATTTAACAGTTACTTTGATCAATTTTAACCTCGTTTTGTTTTGTATGTGGTCAGGATAGTTTTATGTTTATGGAGATTTGATATTTAAAAAAGAATAGGGTACTAAACGTAAATAGTGATTGATAGATTTTATGTCCCAATTTGTGTGAATGTATTATATTCGTTTAGTTAATTGAGGTTGCCTACTTATCCATTCTGTAGTTTTGTAAAAACTAAAATAATATGAATTGTTACTGCTATTGTTATAAACATTTCTTTTACAGGAAGACCTAGATTGGGGATTCGTGGCAATGGTCTTAGATCGACTATTTCTATGGATTTTCTTCATAATATCAATCGGTGGAACAATTTCCATCCTATGTGAGGCACCAGCTTTGTACGATGACACAAAACCCATCGATATGGAATTATCATCAGTCGCTCAACAACAATATTTACCACCAGACTTAGAAAATGTACAATAACTGTTATCTATTATGAACTTTTAATATTTTTTTCTACAAACGCTATTAAAAGTAGGCTTTTTATATTGTCAACTGATATTAAAAATGGCAATTTGTTCCGTTAGTGTTAAAACTAAATTTTGAAGTATATTTAAGATATTTGTCGAAATACAAATAAAATTCGTTTACAAACTTTAAATAATTTATTTGACATTTGAGAACGATAGCAATATACAAAAATACCCGTCATTTGACATTTGACAGATACTTCCGATGTATTTCGAGATAATTCGAGATTCTTTGAGGTACTTCGAGATACTTCAAGGAACTTCAAATTCTCTAATTTATAAGTAATATCTAAGAAAACAATAAGGCCAGGGAAATGTATGACGTGTATAAACTAATGTTAATGATGACAGACACTTAACTCTAACTTAAAATGTGTGGAATAGCTAATATACATTGAAACTAGATATCACATTGGGAACTTTGTTAAATAAATGTATGCCTAAAAATGATTATTTATTTAGATTTTTAAAGCGAATACCCTGAATATTTTTACATATTTGGATTCTACAGGACAAAATTAGTATAGCCAGCTCAGTTCAACCGCGTCGCGTCGCGGCGTCCGAGGAGCACGTGACATGAAATAGAACAACACATTAAAATGAATAATTATACCGTTGTATGAATATCATGGAGGTCTAACTCCATGATGAAGATATTATCTTCATACAACGGTTATAGGTTTGTATTGGTTCACGTTCTAGAATTGTTCCAGAACCATGTGCAGAACTATTGCGCATTGGTCCTTAATTCTGAACAGTTCTGTAACTATTCCATTTGTACTCGAAACCAAAACACTGCCAGAACAATTACGTGTCAAAAGTAAATTATAAATAAAAAAGAAGAAATAACACAGGGCCAGTGTCTAAGTAAAAAAGAGGCCATGTGATATTGTTACGCAGCACCCTGCAGCGTGCTGCGGTCGTCATAAGTAAAAGTACGTGTAAAAGAAGAAGGGGGAATATTCGAGAAATGTCATTCCACATCAAGAAAATTCTAGAAAATTCGAGAAGCTTCTAGAAGTGTCAAGTAAGTGGATAATCCTGGACAGGGATTCTTATGTGCGTACTCAACACGTAACGAATTGAATAGAGAGAGACAATACATACGACTCGCATTCTGTGGAACGAAGATAATCGTCACAGGACGTGCCGAATTGAAAGATAAGAATCCCAATGCTGAAAGTTGAATTGAAATAAATTAAGATACCAAAAACCTGCGTAACATTGGTGACAGGGTGGGATATAAAATAACAGTTACTTAAGCATTCTATTCATGGTAAATAATACATCCACGGCGCACGAAACAGATAGGAATACTAACACTAAGATGGTTTTTGAAGATCGGAGAGGAGAGAAAGAGGTGAGAGGAGGAAAAGGAAAGGCGTAGAAAGAAAAGGAAAGAAGTAGGAAGGAAGAAAAGGAAAAGGAATGGCGAGAGGAGGAAAATGAAAGGCGTAGGAAGGAAGAAGAGTAGGAAAATGAAAGGCGTAGGAAGGAGAAAAAGGAAAGGCGTGTGAAGAAAGAGGAGGACGAAAAAGAAAGGCGTAGGAAAGCTGAGGTAGAAATTATGAATGGCTTGCTGTAAATTCAAGAAAACCTAAAGCAAGAGATTGGTCAACTAAACAGTCGAATAGATCTCTTAGCACAACAACAAGAGAATTTAAAACAACAAGAAAGGGGTAGAATAGAGTTAGAAAGGCAAATTAGAACTGAAATAGTTAAATTGGAAAGAAGAATTCGTAGCCTATCTTCAGCAAGCAACAGAGAAACTGCAAACACTACCTCGTCCTCATTTATAATCGAACCAAGCCATATCCAAAACCCAGTTTCACAAAGCCATACTTTTTTGCGTGGGAAAAATCTTCAAAAGACACCAAAACATCCGTGTGTCAGGTAGTGTGGGACTTGTAACCACTAAAAAACTTCCATTTAAACTGCAGTCACGCCCCGGAACCACTTTCGTATTACTTCAAGGCGGATGCTTGCTATTAAATATTTCTTGATTTTTCATCCTTTTCTCTTTTTCGCATAATGGTTACTATATATTCTATTATAGTTTACCAGTTCTTTTCACTTTTAGTAATTTTCTCTATGATGTCATTTTTTGTTAGTTCGACCCCTATTTTGATGTCCATGATTGCTTTCTCTTCCAGCCACCTGTCACAACTGAAAATGATGTGTTCGGCGTCATTTCGTTCTCCACTACAATACCGAAAATCTTCTGAGGGCACCTTGCCGATGACATAAAAATATTGGTTGAAGTGAATAGTCTTTTTAAATAAAATATTAAAATCATCCCTGCTTTTCCACTATTTTTGAGTAATAAATAAAAACTCACTTAAATTCGTGAATAATACACAAAATTAATTGTCTTCCTTTCCATTTATTAAAAGTAATCTATATTGTTTATTTATATGCTCTCAACTCTTGACCATGATCTTAAGGTAGTTCTTCTTCTTCTATTCTTTATTTGATTTTATTTTGGGTAATTTTGGGTAATTAGGCTAATTAGGATTATTATTGGCATTTATCTTCTTAGGTCCTGAGGTTTTATCTGTCTGTCTTGGTTCTTTCTCTTTCTTTTTGAGGTTGGTTTATGGACCATGTGGTCTGAAAATTATATGGAATAATTTCGGATTTTATACCACTTAAAATAGATAAGTTCCATCAAACAATTTGAAATGTATCATATAAGTATTGAACTAGAAAAATCAAGAGTTGATTTTAGTACACATCTTGTGGATTTGTCGATACTTATAGGTATAAAATAGGGCCCTACCTTATTCGGTAAGTCATCCAGATTTAACCATGCATGTAGCTATATAGCTAGTTTTATTTCTGCTTTTAGGTTCTTTTCTTTTTATTTCTACTATTTTCCTATATTTTTTGAATACTGTTTGCTTTGCCTTCCATCACCTAGTACTGCTTGCACCTACCTGCTTGGCAATTTTCTTAGGACTTGAAACCATTTGGGCTGCTAGTTGCACTTGATACAGCGAGGGTTGTAAACGCATAATTTTCCCATCGCATCACTTTGTATACTGCATAAATATTAGTGATAAAATTTTAGGTAACTAAAGTCACCCCTTTTATGTAAACAAGTAGTACTACTTGGGATTAACAATGTTTACTCTTGCCCTAAGCATGTAAAGACGTGTAATATCAAACCATCCCATTGGATATTTTTGTTGCGATTGTAGGATGTACTTATCCACTCTTGAATCAGTTATATTTTATGATTGTTCCTGTAACTAAAGTAAATCAAGTCATTTAAGTAAACGTTAAAGAAAATATCTTTAAATAATTTGTACCTGATATTCATTTCCATGACCCAATCTCCGGAAAACAATAACAAAACTGAGCTAGTCGATATAAACTATCACCCCTTTCAGTCAAGGGGTAGCAACGATGTTTAACTAGAAAAGTTGAGTGGTCAAATGAAGTATTTAGACGAATAAGCACCACAAATGATCTGGTATCATAAAAACAGTTATACACATTTTTTTAGAGAATAGTCAGACAAAACTTCTGGTCGGCCTGTCGATGACACATATCAACTTGCGTTTAGAAGGTTTGCAATTATATTGAAAATTCCTTAGAAGGAAAATTCAGATGAAAATGCGCTAGTTCAGTGTGAGGTCATTTTGGTTCCACTGACATTTAATTCTAACCAAACTTTTAACAAAAACATCAATAAATTTGACATATACGTTTTTACTGTTTTTATTTTATTTCAAAATATTGTTTACAGGTCATACAAAATAGTTTAAAGGTATGTAATTGGTAACTAAACGATTTTATATTTGATACATGCTATCTACTTACTTTAGGAATATATTTATAAAAGTGAAAAAAACGATATAATTTAGGTAAACAAAATGAACAAAACGCACTCAAAAATCTACTATTACTTTAATTGTCAGTGGAACCATAATTACATCATCACTGAACTAGCGCATTGTCAGTTTTCATTAACAGAGTTGGAGACAAAGACGCAAGATATCAGCGGAAAAGACAAAAATTGGTTCCGAGTGTACATGAAAAAAATTTTCGGATTATTTTGGTGAAAAAATTTAAAAGAAAAAGTCATCAGTTGTTCTCAGATAAGTGGTATGAAAGTAGAAAAAGTGATATGGCGGCTGAACGTCTCAGAATTGTGGAGGCTGCAGCTGCTATTGTACGAGAAGAGATAAGGGAGTAATGTATGACGTTAAAAAATATCCTTCTACTGAAAGTAGGTATTATGGACAGAGGGGTATTGCCAGAGACTCAAAATTTATTAATTCTTTACTTTCTAAAAACTTGATTGCAAGTCGATTGCTTTACAAGACTGTTAATACCTATTCACTTTAATTATTTTTGTATTTTTTCTTAATTTGTTTTTTCTACAATTTAAATGCATTTGTTTTGATTTTATATTATTAATAATAAAGGCTGTATCTAAAAAATTAACTGGCTGTTTTTTTTACCAAGATTTCTAAATTTGTATGTAAAATTTAAGAAAATTCTAATATCTTTAATTTAAAAACAAAAGGTTTCTTGTCATTTTCTCGAAAAACCTTGATTAAAAAAATTCCAAAGGAAAACTGTAAACTTGCACCTTTGGGAATAATTTTGAGGTAGTTGCCTCCCTTACAGGTATGGGGATTTTTACATACATATTAAACATCTTTTATTTAGTAGCACAATGGAAAATTGTTAACTCCCAATTTTACTGGCCTACAAAGAGTCAAACAAGCTTTAGGATTTTCCAAATCAATAAGAATGTCGACGAAAAAGTTTTGTAAATATCTTTGGTATTAACAGTCGATTAATGATACCAATTAACGCGTTTGGTATGCTCAATTATTTAAGTAACTATTTAAACATATATTAATTAATAGTGTTTGTAGAAAAAATATTGTATGACTTACTAAATTATGTTAAAAGTGATTTTATTTGAAAATTCCACTTTTACACTTGTATCGAAAATAGCTATTACGTTTAAATAATTGTAGTTAGGTAGTTAAAAATTGTACTTACTAAGTAGTAAAATAAATTTTCGAATACATTTATACAGGGTGTTTCATATCTGTACTGCCCAAAATTGAAAATCGAAAAGTAATATACTAAATCCATTGGTTTAACCGTTATTTTACTTTTAAAGTTGTCGCCTTCTTAAATAATTATGTAATAAATAGAATTTAAAAAAAGCTTTTTGCAGAGTGAAACTAATCTATAAATATCTATTCAGAGGAGCATAATGGAAATTATTTCGTATATATTTTACTAACGACTAAAATTATAAAGCGGTGTAAATTATAATAGTTGATAATTAAAAGAAAAGAAACTTAAAATATGTATTTATTTAATCATTTTACTCTATAAATCCGAAATATTTTATTAACAACAATTAGACTTCTATGAATTTGAGGAACTTTAAATTTATCTTCAAAATGATTGTCACATACTAAATAGTTTTTACGAATTTTTTGTGCAGTTTTATTATTGAAAAATGGACTGCGAACAGCCAATACCCAAATTTGAAATAAATCATTATTAGGATTGGGTTTGGGAAAACGATGCCTTCCCAGATTGTTTATAAAACAATTCGGCACACAACAATACGGCATATTTCAACTTTTAAACAAAAATCACCACAAAAAATTAAAATAAGTTCACAATTGTTATCAAGATCAAGTAAACAAATTGAAAATTAAAAACACAATTGAGCAAGACCAAGTTGACAATACAATAAACAATAATTTAGAAAATACTATTTATTATATTAATCACAATAAATACTGGTAATGGATGCCAATGACAAATGACACTCCGACACTCCTCCCCCAACTCCAACTCCCACTTTTTCCACTATCAATTGTGGATTTCTGTAAATTATGTGTACCACGCCCTCTAGAATTAATTCTTTGAACCTAAAACATCGTTTTAGTTCGGGCCATAGATTACTAATGTGAATAGATGGGAAACTCAATAGTAAAATTCTGAGTCGATGTGCTGCCATCTGTCAAATTGGAGTGGTACTAAAATTCAATAGGGCCGCCACGAGCGGGCTTTTTGAAATTTAACTTTGTAGTAGCGCAAAAATGTAATGAAGAAAATCAAATAAAGCAAAAAAAAGGAAAAATATTTGACTAGTTTCAAATCATAAAACAACCATATTGACTGTTTTGTGATTTGAAACTAGTCAAATATTTTGCCAATTTTTATCTTTATATGATTTTACTTTAATTTTTGCATTAATTTCAAACTTCTGCAATTTATTTTAATTATTTTTTATTACAGTAAATTAACGCCGCATCATATAATTTGTCTATTTAAACATGGAAATACTCAAACAAATATTCATTTACACCATGTAAATAATTAAATATTTATAAAACCTATCAAAAATGTTTTCTGTAACAAAATCAGCATATATAAGTGCTCAAGACCTTTATAAAAGTTGCGACTTGGAGTGGCAAATAAGTTTGAAAAAATAGAAGTTGAAGCATCATCCTTTTTTACTATCGAGGCAAATTTGAGTGTGGATAAAATTTGCCATACAGTTATTGAGTTGACTAGTTAGGTTGAGGAGCATTTCTTCATCCGATAATTGTTTTCTTGATGTATTTATATAGCACTTGTAGTTATCAAATTTTTATTCATCATTGTGATAAATGAATTTAACTTTTGAGCTTAAAATAAACTTACACACGTTTGCACCCTTGAAGATTTTAGGGTGTTTTCTTGTTTGATGTCAGTGGCATTAAATCAATTTTGGATACTGATGGGTGAGGCTCAAATATTTCATCGATCGACAGGGTATTTTGGAGGACCAACAATTACTTTACAACAATGGTCATTTAAAAACTGAAAACAAAAAGAAATTTAAATAACAAACCAATTATTTTAACACTGAATCAAAAACAAGTTTGTAAATATTACTTAACGTTGATACCAATCAGTAATAGTGCATTTTTCTTAAGACGACTGCATATTTAATGTGGTATAAATTGCATCACTACCAATATCTGGGAGTTCTTTATTGTTTGTTGCTAAAATCCATCTTCCCATCGTTTGAAAACATGCTTAAAATTGGAAGGTGTTGAAAAATAAATCTAGATTCTAGATGAATCAAAATTCAATACACCTTCAAATACAATAGCCATTTTAATTTCTCCAAATTTGAAGTTTTGACACTTTTGACGAGCTGACAACTGACATGACATTTCGATACGAGCGCCATCCCGTTAATTGGAGTGGTACTAAATTACCAACCTCATGTTTCTCCATTTGAGTTACCAGCCCCTGGTTCGGGCTATACCAGTTACCGATTCCTGGATGTTATAATTCTTTTAATTAAATTAACGAATATGTAGTACTGGTTGCATATCATAACTTTCTGCTAGCGTTCATAAAGAGAACAGGCCCGTACTCGAAATAGAATATAAGTTATTGTTCAGAGTATAAAATTTTCTAATCGTTTTTTATAATAAAACAATATGTGTATTTAACAAGTGTTCATATTTATTGTACAAATAAGTAAGGTACAGGTAAATATTCATTTTAATCAAATAAAAAAAAATTAAATACATTTAAAAAAAACTCCTTAATTAGTTATAGTGGAACTCACCTTTGACCCTGAGATATTAAAAGGAAAACAAGGTAAGTACAGAAAATACGACTTTGTTAGTTGGACTTTATGTTCTGTAATAAAACAAATTAACGTCAAAATTATTATACAGTGAGCATCATAAGTCTTACCCCCTCTAACTAACTCGTTACTGGGGTCTTGTTAGGAAAATCGCCGAAACAGGTCGATTTTTGATTTCTACAA